ACATTTCACAAAAATACAATGTCGTCGAAAATGTACCAGTTAAACTCGAAATAACATTGAAATGATTATTTTCCATTATTAAATTTAAGCACTGTTTCCGTTTCGGGGACCTTCAAAATATACTTTTTTTCTGTCGCGTGATGAATATATACAACGGTGGTGTAATCTTTTAAATAATTTTGAAAAAGCCTAATCTGTTCATGTTCACCACCTTCCGACAAATTTACTCCAGCGCTTTCGTATAATTTAACTGCTTGTACGAATACTTGTAACATTATTTTACCTCTTCTCGTTTTGAATTTACCTAAACTTTTTCTATTATAATTTTTTTTTTGTATACACTCTCAAAAGTAGCTATTTTTCTGACTCATTTGAGTCTCCAAAATGAGTCTTTTCCGGACTCAATAAAATAGCAAAATGGTTATTTTAGGTACTCAGTCCGCAAAAACAGTTCAACAAGTGCTCGCACTTGCAAAATGACAGTTTCTGGCGTAGTAATACAAATAACTATTTTACGGTAGGGTAGGATTTTTACGGAGTTCAATTCATATCTGGCTTTATAAGAAATATTTATTAATTACAATTATTATTAACTTCAACATATTTATCAAAAATAAACCAAGTTCCAACTCCTAATTAGAACTAAGAATATTTTGGAATCTCAAAATTGATGTTAATTGTGCAATTTTGGACGATAGACATTCATTTTTTCCGTGGTCCTAAAATATTTTCGTCATTATAGGTAATTCCAATATAGGGTGGCGCAACAAAGTTATATTTTTTCTTATGGAACACCCGATATAATATGCGCTTATTTGAAAGAGTTTTTAATTCTAACAATATCCATATTAGGTTTTATGGGTCTGTCATGGACCGTTTATCATTTATGGGCAATTTTATAAAAAAAACATTTTTGAAAAATCACAACGGTTTTGCTAGAAAGAAAAAGTGAATAAAAACAATTGCAACCATTTTTACTGAGTCTGGTACTAAATTATTATGGTTGAAATTCGATCTTTTGCAACTACTGCAGAGTGTTGATATTCGCAAAATATCAAGTAACTTGATTTTTTCAAATGAAACACCCTGTATGTTATTACTTTATCGTGTAGAAATTTTAATAAGCTTTCCAAAAAACGTAGGGTTTAGTGATCTAAACCTTACCTGTTTTATTGTACACCCTTTAAACCTACAAAATTTTAACTTATTCTATTTAGCCTTAAAAATCAAATAGGTTTGCGTTACTTCCTTTTCTAAAAAAGTTAATTTTTTGAAGTTACGTTATCACCATACATCAATTAAGTTTGTTAGAGAATGTAGAATTATGTAGCTACAGCATGATGGAGCTCCTGTTCATTTTTGTCGTATTGTGAGGAACAGATTTCGTAATCGATAGATTGGGAGGGGAGAACTATTGTCTGGCCACCGCGATCTCCAGATTTGACTACAATTGATTTCCTTTTATCAGGGTGTGTTGAAAAGAAGGTGTATCGAACAAGACCCACCACTCCAAATGACATGAAGGAAAGAATAATTGAAGCCTTTAATGACATCTCTCTTGAAATGCTGAGAGCAATCAAACTTTTTTTATGCGTAGACTAGACGTCTGTCTGACGAGGAATGACAGGATTTTTGAATATTTGCTATAGAATTAATTAGATTTTAAAATTTTTATAATTAAGGTCTTGCATTGAATTCAAATTCCAATTAGCCTTTCTTGAGTTTTACTCAGTATTTCAATAAACAACTTGTTTTTTTAATTGATGTATGGTGATAACGTGACTTTCAAAAATTATCCAATTTTTTTAGAAGAGGAAGTAACGCAAACCTACTTGATTTTTAACGCTAAATAGAATAATTTAAAATTTTGTAGGTTTAAAAAGGTGAACAATAAAACAGGTAAGGTTTAGACTTCCAAACCCTAGGTTTTAAGAAAGCTTATTAAAAGCTCTACTGATAAATTAATAACATACAGGTGTTTCATTTGAAAAAATCAAGATAATTGATATTTTGCGAATGTCAACACTCTGCAGTAGTTGCAAAAGATTGAGTGAATTTCTACCATAATAATTTAGGA